TATCTTGCTTTGCATGTAATGAGTCTATCTTATATATTAGTTTCACCTTTTCAGTTGTATTACTGAAATAAATGAACTTTTGCACGATATTCTAATTTTTCGAGGGTGTGTGTGTGTGTGTGTGTGTGTGTGTGTGTGTGTGTGTGTGTGTTGTGTATTCAGATTAAGTCCCCCTTATTCCCTCTTATCCCAAGTCACGGCCGCATGTGCGCGCCTCAGTTAGCTAGTTGCTGTGGGCGTGTGGATGGACAGGGGCCATCCACCCAGGCCCACATGCTTCGGCATATATGCTCTTTTTTTTGACTGCGGATGAAAAATCTCATCCGACAGCACTGCACACACCTACTTCGGTTTATTCTGACAGCAACAGGAATTTGCTCTCAGAATATACATGTTAGTGCTTCAACTGAAAGCATTGCTGCAAACTAAACAGCAATGGTTAACAATAATACAGTAAAAGTAGAACAAAAATGGAGGAAGAGGAGGAGGAGAGGAGGAGAGGAGGAAGAGGAGGAAGAGGAGGAAGAGGAGGAAGAGGAGGAAGAGGAGGAAGAGGAGGAAGAGGAGGAAGAGGAGGAAGAGGAGGAAGAGGAGGAAGGAGGAGGAGGAAGGGAGAAAATATAGCACCATCAATCTAAGCAGCAATTTAAATATATGTAAACAGTGGCTAAACGGTTAGCACTTCCACCTGGCAGTACTAGGGTCATTGGTTCGAACGTCAACCATGGCACCACCTGCCTGGAGTTTGCATGTTCTCCCTGTGTCTGCGTGGGTTTCCTCCGGGGACTCTGGTTTCCTTCCACACTCCAAAGACATGCTGGTAGATTAATTGGTTCCTGGTCTAAATTGGTCCTAGTATGTGTATGTATATGTATAAATAGAAGTTAGGGACCTTAGATTGTACGACCCTGGAGGGTTAGGGAATGATGTAAATGTACAATATATATGTAAAGTGCAGCGTAAATTGATGGCGCTATAAGAACCTATAATAAACATATTGTACAAATTCATATCAGTCCCTGCCCTCTAGGAGCTTACAATCCCAGGCTCCTAACTCACTTTCATACATACACGTACTAAGGACAGTTTAGACAGGAGCCCATTAACCTGGCTTTGGCATGTGGGTGCAAACCAGAGTACCCAGAGAACAGGAACAGGCACCGGGAGGCAAACTCCAGGCAAGCAGTGCTGCACGTGGTATTTGAACAGATGACCCTAGTGCTGCTAGGTGGAAGTGCTAACTGCTTAGCCCCTGTGCTGCCTATGCTTCTAGTTAATAGCCAGTTCTAGTCTGTGCATTTAGAATTGCATCTTTTTAATAAATCAACTGAGCTGGCTATAACTAGCTCCCGAAGGAGTCTATTGCAAGTTTTCAAAGCTCTTACTGTGAAAAAGTGTTTGCATCTGGAGGAAATGAGGTTAACCTCCTTGTATGTAAAAGGGCTCAGTCACACGTGTATCAATTAGAAGAATGAAGCAATGCCCACTAACACACCTACATCATTTATGATGCATTTAGGACATGTTTTTGTTGGGTTTACGAGGGGTTGAAAATGCTTCAAGAATGCCCATGGAGGCGTTTTTTCTACTGTGAAGTGATTAACCACTTGCCCTCCAGAGGATTTTCCCCCCTTCCTGACCAGGCCATTTTTGCGTTACGGCGATGCGTTACTTTGACAACTGTGCGGTCATGTAACACTGCACCCAAATGAAATTTACATCCTTTATTACCCAGCAAATAGAGCTTTCTTTTGGTGGTATTTGATCACCTGTGTTTTTTTCGTTTTATAGTACAAAAAATAACAAAAAAAAAAAAAAAAAACCACAAAAAAAAAACACATTTTTGACTTTTTGCTATTAACCTTGTCTACCGGGCACTTTCAGCCCCTTCCTACCCAGGCCAATTTTCAGCTCCCAGCACTGTCACAATTTGAATGACAATTGCGCAGTCACGCAACACTGTACTTATGACATTTTTATCATTTTTTTTTAAACAGATAGAGCTTTCTTTCGGTGGTATTTACTCACCACTGGGTTTTTTATTTTTTGCTAAACAAACCAAAAACTGAAAATTTTGAAAAAAAAAAAAAAAAAGTTTAGTTTCGGTTATAAAAAATTTGTAAATGAGTAATTTTTCTCCTTCACTGATGTGCGCTAATGAGGCTGCAGTGATGGGCATTGACAGGCATCACTGGTGGGCACTGAAAGGCAGCACTGACTGGCATTACTCATAGGTGGAACTGACTGGCACTGAAAGGCAGCTCAGATGGGCACTGATATGTGGCATTGATGTGCACTGACAGGTGGAATTGATGGACACTGATATGTGGCACTGATGGGGCTACAGTGATCAGGGCACTGATAATCTGTGCCCCGATGACCAGTGTAGATGTCCCCTCTGAGGAATGCCGATTACCGGCTCTCCTCTACTCACAAGTGGTCAGTCTGACAGCTCGTGAGGAGAGGAATGCCGATAACTGGCATTTCCTTATTGACATGCTTTTAGCTGTGATTGGACACAGCTGATCACATGACAGAGCAGAAGTCATCGGGTCTTACCACTGATCCGCTGTGTCCCAGGGACACAGCACACCACCGATAACAGTGTCATAACGTCCTCCCAAAACGAGAGAACCACCGCCCTTCTGTAATTTTTTTAATTAAATATCCCAATACGTGTAAATTAATTGATTTCCGTGAACGTTATAGCATTTACAGATGGCGGTAAACGTACACTGGACTTTTTTTTAAACTAATAATGGCAGTGATTAGCAACATATAACGGGACTGCGGCGGGCATGGACACTGGGGGGGAACTGACTTGGTGTCACTGACATAAACCAATGACACCAATACAATGATCAGAGCTAATAAAAAGCACTGCCCTTGTACTAATGGCACTGGGCAGGAAGAAGTTAACATGTGGAGCAAAGGGTTAACTGTGTGCTCTTTTACTATGGGGCTGTGTGTGCTTTACACTAAGCACACAATTTGTATGGCTCTGCATTGCAGAGCCATACAAAGCAAAGCAGTATGCAGGAGCTGACAGGGGAGAGATCTGTATTGTTTACATACAGGTCTCGCCCCCATCGGTAATACGCAGAGATTGCTGGGTGCCATCGGGGAATCACCAGCCAGGACCCGATGACTGAAAGCCGAGGCCACGAATGGTGATGCGGACACGCCCAACCCACAACTGCAAAATCACGTATATTTACGTGATTTTGAACACCTGTCCCGCCCTGCAGCAGTATTTCTGCTCCAGGGTGGCGCGGAAGCGGTTAAAGGTGAAGTGACTTAGAAGAAAGGATCAACTTTGAGGTGTGGTTAGGTTGTGGTGTGCATTCTCTACAGGAGGGATTCATATACTTTGATCTCTTTGACATTTGGCTTGGTCAAGCTCAGATTTGCTGAAAAAAGAAGCTTTGTAACTGACAATACTTAATGACTCTGCTCCTGCCTGGCACTGTCAGTATTGCTGGCTGATTGACTCTCTTGCCTGCACACAGAAGCAAAATGGTGCTACCACACAGGGCTGTCCTGTACAAAGAGGAAGTGGCTGGAGCTGCTCTGTCCTAGTTTTCAATAGTTTCTCGGTGCATTCTGAGATACAGGAACCTCCACTGTCTCTCCCTCCAGCACCCAGCTAACACTTTATAAATGCTTCGCTAACACACACCATAAAATGCTGTAAACGCTGTTAAGGTGTTTACAGGATGCCTACATTTTTAACACAATGCTACTGCTCCTGTGTGAACAGCACTGTGTGGTGCCATTGTAATATTCATGGTAGGCATTGAAGGGCAGACATAAGGCTTTATAAATACTAACTGCATGCCACACAAACACATGGTATTGATACACATGTGAACAAGTCCTAACTCCAGATCCTTTACAAGGACAAAACAGTTTGTTTTCGAATGCAAACATTTTCTAAAAGCAGACACCTTGGAAAAAAAAAAAAAAAAGTGATACTTCCAATTTTTTGCACGATTAAAGTGGACACAAAATATGTCAATAATCCTAATTAGAAGGTATTCGCTAATAACAAACTTATACAAAGGTGTATATCATCATCCAAAAAACATTAGTGTTTTAAATAAATTATAGTGTCCAAAATAAATTAGTGTCCAAAAAATATATATAATATATATATGTCCAAAAATATATATATATATATATATATATATATATATATATATTCAGTGACTTGAACCAATTGTGAAAAATCCACCACCAAAAGGAGATTAAATGAACTCACCAGAGCTAATGGCTGGTCAGATTATAAACCAGCAACAGCGCTTGTGCTCTGGGAGCAATGAACCCGATGTCCAAATAAATATGGTGACGTTTCAGACACTTCCGAATAATAATAATCACAGACAAACAACTTTGCAGCCCAAGCTCTTATGATGAACTTCTCCACTCTCTCTCATACCTCCAGGCTGCAAAGTTGTTTGTCTGCGATTATGGGTCTGTCTGTCTGTGATGACAGGTCATCAGTTTAGCGTTATCCATGAATGACAGAACAAGAATTACTTATAGCTCTCAAGCTGGTGTGTTCAGTGTTATGTAACATGCATAATGCTATCACTGTTTTCATATATAGCTGTATCAGACACCCATTTATGTATTTGCGTGTATGCTCTGCATGCATGGTGGCAGAGACTAATGGTCCTGAGGAGTGGAATTGATCTCTGCCATCTGACAGCCAGCTTGTAATTTTTACACACAAGATACAGCAGCAGTGTGTGCAAGACCTCCACTGCTGATGTATGGTATATGTTGACAGCAACAAAATGGTTAAGCCAGTTTTTCAACCATTTTAGAGATGGGATTTTCTATACCCACAAACTAACTCTGCAGAGAGGACCCTGAGGCAACGGAAGACTAGAGATAGCACTGCTTTCATGAGGTCATCATGCCCCACCAAAAGTACTATATAGAACTGCTAAATATTAAGAAAATTATAAATAAAAAAAAAATAAAAAAAAACTCACCTCCTGTACAGCTTTGACTGTCCATATGAAACAATAATGAATGGAAGTTTGAAAGTAGTTAGGACAAGTACAACCTAAAATAAAAAGCAAAAAAAACCATACTTATGGCATGTAGAGCAGTAAAAAAAGAAAAAAAAAAAAGTTATATGATATGACAGTGATACAAACATCAATGGAAAACAATGTATTTGGCTTGAATTTGTGTAGCTGATACAATTATCTTTGCAGAAACAATGGTTTTATATGACATTGTGGTAGCTTTTCTGGGTAGAGCTGATGTTGAATCACACAATGTTTTATATGTACACCAAATAAAGTGATTTGAGTTCACAATTTGCCCTAGTTGTCCTTTCAGTCATTTACGCTTTTAAGTCACCTTCAGCGTTCTGTTACAAGGAGAGAATAATGTCTGCGGAAAGCGTCCTCGGGCGGGCATGGGAGCATACATTCAAATGGGAGGGCTAAACAAAGGGCCAGTTTGTTGTTCTTCAAACTTTGGGGGGGGGGGGGGGCAGACTGTGGCCAATGGGATTATAAATTTCCCTGGCATCAGTGGGAAAAAACACCACCACATTTGGTATTATGGGGAGGAATATTGCCCCATCGTTGGTATCATTGGGAAGAATGGTTGCCGTCAGTGGGAGAAATGGTGCCCCGTTGTTATCAATTGGCAGAATAGTGTCTCTTATCAGTGGGAGGAAACGTGCCCCAAGAGCAGAGTAAGGTCAAGCAAAGGCCGCATGCGGCCCCCTGGACTGCAGTTTGGAGATCACTGCTGTATAAGGCAAGGAACAACAATATAGATCAACTGGAAAGGGAGCCTAGATTACTCAGCACTAGTGGTGCACTGAAATAAAAATTCTGGTGCCGAAACCCATACCAAAAATTCAGAATGCATGTGGCCGAAAACCGAACCGAAAGTGTCTGTATGTGGGGGTGGGGAGGCGCCAATTTTTTTTTCTATTTTCATGTATATTTTTTTTTTTTTTTTAACTTATGATTTTATTGCTATCACAGCACTATCACCAATAGTCCCCTATATGATAGCATATGAGTGACAGGTCCTCCTTGTAGGGGGGAAGGGGTGGGGAGAGGAGAAGTGGAGGAGGAAGGAGAGGGGCAGTATATACAGAGAGGCTCCCTCAATGGCTGTCACTATATTTTAGTTCCGGTTTTTAAATGCAATTGCCGGCTATTTTTTTTTCTTCACAATAGCTCACAGAATTAGCTGTCACTTTCCCCGGAGCAAAAGGAAAAGGTTTCTTTTAACTCGGGAAATAAACTAAAAGGAAACTTTGTTTCTTTTTGCTGGGGGGGGAAAAAAGCGACAGCTAATTATGTGAACTATAGTGAAGAAACAAAAAAAATCCGGTAATTACATTTAAAAACCGACACCGACATATAGTGACAACCAGACACTGTATACACTGCTCCTCTCCTGCCTTTCTCAGCCGCCCCCTCACATCTGCAGTACACACTGTCTCCTGTATCAGCTAAATTTTTCCTATCGGCAAAATGCCGATAGGGCTATTTTCGGCTGTTATGCTTCCCTCCTCAGCACCATATACAGTGGAGCCTTACAAAAGCAGAGGACATAAGAATATGGGCATCAAAAAGATTGGCATCAAAAGAGAAGTACCAGCTGCCATGCCAGCCCAAAATGAGACTACCTATATTTAAAGCATCACATACCGGGGTACAGGGGAGTTGTTCGATGTGTGTGATACTGACCCATGCTTTAGACCCGGGATTGAAACTTTGATTATCTGAGCTGTTATTGAGCTATTTGAAAATAAGGGGGTTCCTCTGTAATTTTCCATTGCCCCTTCGCTTGGACGTATACTCCAGTGCCCGCCCAGGGATGGTTTCATATGGTCTTCTTGTAACCAGGCCCGGACTGGGACAAAAAATAGGCCAGGGCATTTTATACTGAGCAGCCAATTTCTCCATAGACCGGGGGGGGGGGGGGGTCAGGGGAAATAGGGGTCGGGCATTCGCAGGGGCGGCTGGTGACAGGATATTTACTCAAACCTCTACACTGTAATGTAAAGGGGCACTGTGATATAAAGGGGGCCGCACTGTAAAAGGGGCACAGTACTGATTACAGTGCCCCTTTACAGTGCAGTTTCCTTAATATCACAATGACCCTAGCAATCACAGCCCCCCATCACAGTGCCACTTGCAGTCATGCCCCCCTCCCTTTCTCTCCAATTCCAGTGCATCCTATATATTCAGGAAAGAGACATGTCCAGTCCAGCAAAGAGACATCCTCATAAAGCAAAGACAGCCCAGGCCAGCAAGTCTATAAAAAAACTGTCCTATAAATTTGTTCTTACAGTAAGTGTTCACTGGCAGTGGCAGGCTGGCACTCACTTTTATTTGGTTCGGGCCGGCTCCCTGTAGTGTGTGGCAGCAGCGACACCTATCCGGCATCAGGCGATGGGGTCTCCTCCAGCTGCTCCCTCTTCACAGTCTTGGGCAGCCCACAGGTCTACTGACCGCTAGCTCCCATCCCCTGCTTCGACAGCCATACAGGAGGGAACTGACTGAGCAGCCACGGAAAAACTGAGGAGCGGCACGGGCTTGAGACAAAGGGCAGCTTAGCTGCCGCATCTGCTTTGCATTGCGCCCCACATAATGTACACGCGGCCCCAGCCCACTGGGCAAATGCCCTGTGTGCCCTATGGCCAGTCAGGGCCTGCCTGTAACCAGAATATTACAGTGTTAATTTTAATAACAAGTACACAAATCGGCACAGACTCCTGAGGAAGCAGCGTAGAAACATGTGAAAAATGTAGAGTAACCATAGAAGGATGGTGGAACCCCCTATTTCTGAAAAACAACCTAATAAAAGTATCTTTTATACCTTGATTGAGGTTGTAGTACCAATAGTCCAAAGTCCATTTTTTTTCATTACTTTTATTTCCTCTGCAGATAGCAAATAAATTTAAAGGATAAGTTCACCTTTGGGAACATGTTCTACCCCTTTTTTTTCCACCCTATGTTCCCATAGCCGCACCCGTGCCCGCAACCCCCCCTCCCTCTGACAGATAGTACGGGGAGAAGTTTCCCCATAAAGTCACATTTGAAAACAGCGCGGCCATGCGGGGCTCTGCCCACATGGCCGCATCACTCATTCACAGAGTTCTGTGAATGAGTGTCTACAAGTCCCGGAAGCCTTAGCAGATGTCGGTCTGTAGTTTCAATGAACTACCACAGCACTGTGGAGCGTCATGGTAGTTCATTGAAGCATCTTGTCAAAATATCTGCTAGGCTATACATCACGTACGGCTAGCAGATATTCTGACAGGTCTGCAGGAGACCTGCATGGCATCAGCAATCTAGTGATCGCTGGTGCAATGCTTTACAGGCTCCTTTGGACAAAAATAATAAATGCACATTTTTTTACCTGCAAAAAAAAAAAAAAAAAATATATGAATTTTATTTTTGTTCAAAAGGTGAACTTATCCTTTAAATCAATAAATGATCTGACTGGTTTCTGTGGAGGACTTGCTAAACTTGCTCTCGACATAATTGGTGGACATCTGACCCTCTGCAAGTGAGAACTTTAGGCTAAAGATCAAATGGATTGAGGGAATGTTCACACCACAAAAATGTTCTTCAGATGCGTTCCAGGTGCGAATTTAGAATGTTTTTGATGAGTCTTGGTGAGTTTGTGATTCTTTCCGGTTTTTTTTTTTGCCCCACTTAACTTTTTCTGGAACAGAAACACACTGGAACTGACTGCCCTGGTGTGAACGATGGCATTGGAACCCAATGTAGCCTACTTTCCATGAATTTTTTTATGCAGAAAAAAAAAAAAAAAAAAAAAAATGCACTGCATGTGGTGTGAACAAACTCTAATTGTCAAAAATTTTCAATCCTATCTGAAAATTAGGCGCCACTACATCTTAATATATAGATATATATCTATATCTCGAGCGCAATATCTCAAGCGCGATATACAATCACGTACGGCTAGCAGATATTCTCGAGAGCAAGAGAGATCTATATATAAAAACGTAACCACATAATGCTTTACGTGGGTAAAGCCACAATGCCTGCACTCAAAATACAAGCTTTGGAAGATTTCATGGGTATCCAAGACATTCACAATAACCTCTTGTAGTTTAAAATAGAATGATTTAAACTCACTAAAATCATTCTTGTGCCAGCTGGTAACTGGGACCGCCAGTACGGCCTGGGAAAATCATTAACAGTCAAGCCAGACTCTTGTCATTGGTACATGCTGGGTCTTTGGCTGTATTTACTGAGAAGCTTGTATCCTCAACTGTGAGCTACTAGTGAAACTACTTAAGAGTAGAAAGAAACTTGATGTAGAAAACAAAAACAGCATTTACTTGTATGATCCTTAAAATAACTTCATTAGAAGTATCTCACAGGGTATTTAAAGGCAGTTTAATTAGCATGATTACCTACAATGCTATAAATATCTAGAGAGGCATATGCTATAGAACGCTACACAACTGTGGGATTTTAGGCTTGTGATCAGTAACAGCACGTTCTATTTTTTTCTTCTAGAAAATCTAAATATGCCAGTAACCATCATTAGTGGGACTGCTGTATGCTGCCAGTCACCATCCAGCAGAAGCTTGTAAAGTTGTCATAGGTGCTGATTTTTTTTTTTTTCCCCCCACAACTTAATAAACGTCAATATCACTTACCCCTGATCCATCACCAACCCAGACCAAAGACAGTTCTATACTTGTATCAAAGGTAGCCTGTATGTATTGGGAAAAAAAAAAAAAAAAAAAAAAATAGATTAGTTTTTCAGGTTTTACAAGAAAAAAAAAATTTTACACAGCACTTAAAGATGGCATTAAACTTCCTTGCGAATGCCAAACTACAAACTTTTACCAGCAGCCACAGTATAAAATCACCTTAAAGAATACAGGTAATAATTTACCAATTATGATGATTTATGTATGCTGGCTTAAATACAGATTTCATGAGCACATACCAAACTGACGACCACTTATTTAGGTTGATTTAAAACACACACACGGTACTGGTGTGTTTTTACCTTAATGCAAAGGGCAGGTTCACCGAAAAGGAAAAGATGAAAACACCAAATATCCTGGTCACCCCTACGGACCTTGCTGCACATAGCCTCTGTGAGGTCCTGTACTGCCATTGTAGCAGTTCGTACTCTGCAATATACAGCCCAGCGGTGGGTATCCATCATAATGCATGCAATGGCAGGTGCTCATTGGTCAGTACAGTTAAGTGACCATGCTGAGAATGAGAAGTGCACTTTAGACTTCTTCCGACAGTAAGGTGTCCCAGAAGAAAAGCGCTTCTCACTAGTCAGCACAGTCTTGTAGTCATACTGATCAATGATGCCATGATGAGCATTATGATGCATACCCACTTCAGCCTGTTTGGACCACTACAGCACAGCATGGGGCATCACTGCCAGAAATATTTAGTTTCATTTTTTTTGTGAAAAGGTGAACCTACTCTTTAACCAATTAAAGATTTGTTATCCTGCGCTCAGGATTATAAACTTTTAGCGTGGACATAAACAACCTGTGATAACACCTTAAATAAAAAACACAAATACAATAAACCACAAATAAATAGTCCAACAAAAAAATTGTCTAAAATGGCTACAGCTCCTATTAAGGGTACTGCCCCTCACAAATGTGCAATCAGAAATATAAGAGCGCTGCCCCATGTGATCCCATCATGATTACAAAGCAAACATGAATATGCCTCAATACAGTCCCTTGTGACTTTTTTGAAAGTGAAATCAGCATCTTCCAAATAATGCTTAGGTGCTCTTCATACTGTCAATCAATCCATGCTCTGTGCTCCCCCCACCAGTGGTCCCACTCACTCGACTTCTGTGGAATCTTGATGATCAAACAAGAGTCAAACTCACTTTGGTGGAGGAGAATTTCTGGTTCTGCTGAGACTTGTAGTCTGCCTCTGCACGGCTGTACTCACCTGACTCAGTCCATAAATTGTGGCAATAAGATAGTCACACATAAGGAATGGAGGAAGGAGGCCACATAGTGTGATTCCATTTATTAAAATCGAAAGCATAAAAGTGAATATTTTGCACTTACATTGATTTAATAGTAACAAGCATTAACCACTTGCCCTCCTTAGGATTTACTCCCCTTCCTGACCAGGCCTTTTTTTGCTATTCGGCGCTGCATTATTTCAATTGGTAATTGCGCGGTCATGCAATGCTGTACCCTGACAAAATTCATGTCCTTTCTTCCACACAAATAGAGCTCTCTTTCAGTGGTATTTGATCACCTGTGCACTTTTTATTTTTTTTGCACTATAAACAAAAAAATACCGAAGAATTTTGTAAAGCAAAAAAGCATTATATAGAGCCAATTGAAATAAACAGACATTTTTTGTACCAGCGTCTGGATTTTCGGGATACTAAGTATGGCTTCATCATCTGCTCGTTGAAGTCCACCCCTCCCATGTTAAGGTTATAGTCGTGGACACAGAGGGGCTTCTCAACAAAACCAGCTGCTGTGGCAATATGGTCGTGTCTGCATGAATGAAAGACAGGACGAAAACATCCTGTTTGTCCTTACACTTCACTGCGAGCAATTCCTCATTTCTCAAGCAGGCTTTTTCCCCCTAAGACAGTATTTACAAGCAGTACAAGACTATCTTGCCACTGCACCCCATGTAGTCTGGGGTGCTCCACGTGACTATCTTTTCCCTCGTAAATCCGAAACTTATATGTATAGCCTCAGTTTCCCTCGCGCAGATCTTATGCATCTTGACACCATATCTGGCAAGCTTGCTGGGGAGAAATTGTTTGAATGCAAAGCAGCCAGAAAAATTAGGGAGGGGCTCATCAATGCAGATGTTTTGCTGGGGAGTACAGACATCTGCAAAATTTTGGTTAAGGTGAGTTAAGAGGGGCTGAATTTTGTGGAGCCAGTCAAATTCAGGGTCACCCCCAAGGACAACAGAGTGTATTGTCGTTGAAATGCATAAAACACATTATACTCTCATATCTATGCCTGGCCATAGCAGTAGAGAACACAAACATATGATGAATTGGGTCTTTGGACCAATACAACCGTAATTAATTTTTTTTTCAGGAATACCCATGTTGAGGGTTAGGTCCAAAAAAATTTAAATTCGGAAAACGTAATGGGCTTCCATGAGAATGGTCTGGCAAGGTTTGAATTTGGGTTGGCAGCGATAAACTGTTGTGCATATAAATTGCTTTGATCCATAATCAATGCATACAGATCTTCCATAAAAAAACTGCTCCAAAAAATTGTGTGCAATGTATCAAGTGTCAGTGATTTACTGATGCTGCACTTACTGGGGGGGGTTAAAGCATAGGGGTGAAAACAGGTGCCGGGGCTGATCCCACTAATGCTGCGTTTTTGGTGACACTATATTAATGTGAACGCTGGTATAGTGCTGATCTGATCAAAGATATTGATCCGTTCAGACACTATGCTAGCAATACAGGTTTATTGTGTATGTGAGAATGTTCCAGGCAATCAGGGGGTTAAAGTGATGATGAGCAATCTGACACTATCTGGGAGTGAAGGTAACTCTGACACTAATACAGTGATCAGCAAAAAATCTGCACACTGTACTATTGACACTGGTGACAGAGCAGTGAAGTGGTTTACTGTGGGGGGGGGGGGTGATCAAGGGGCTAAATGTGTCCTAAAATGTGTTCTAACTGTGAAAGTGTGCTGCTTTTACTCACTGTGTCTTCTTTCTTCTCTCTCTGGGACGGAATGTGCTAAGAGAGAGAAGATGACATAACTTCCTGTACCTGTGTAAGTGTAAACATAGGTACAGGAAGATCTCTGATAAGGCAGGAATCGATCATCTGATTTAGACCGAACATCACTGGCCTAAAATCGGATGACCGATTCCTTGGGGATCAAATCACGACACCTACGGGTCGGTGGGGGACACACGCATTCCCCCCACGGCCCACGAAGACTGCGGGAGCGCAAATCACGTATATACAATTAAGTCCATATATATTTCAACACAGGCACAATTTTAAAGTTTTTCAGGTATATACTAAAACATTATTCAAGCTACAGTTATATCATGGACATGGGCTGAAAGTGCACACTCTCAGGTTTAATTAGAGGGTATGTACATCCAAATTGGAGGAAGGGTTTAGGAATTACAGCTCTTAAGAGTAGCCATCCCCCCTTTTTCAAGGGACCAAAAGTAATTGGACAGTTGAATCAAAAGCCGTTTCATGGCCAGGTGTGGGCTACCCTTTAGTTATTTCTTAATCAATTAAGCAAGTAAAAGGTCTGCAATTGATGCCAAGTGTGGTGTTTGGAATATATTGCAGTGAACCTACATCATGCGTTCAAAGACGCTGTCTATGCAAGTAAAACAGGCCATTGTGAGGCTTTAAAAACAAAACAAATCCATCAGAGAGATAGCAGCAACATGAAGAGTGGCCAAATCAACAGTTTGGTACATTCTGAGGAAAGAAGAACGCAGTGGTGAGCTCAGCAACATAAAAAGGCATGGACATTTACAGAAGACAACAGTGGTGGATGATTGCAGGATCCTCTCTATGGTAAAGAAAAACCCATTCACAACATGCAGACAAGCGAAGGACATTCTCCAGGAGGTGGGCATATCATTGTCAGTCTACAGTCAAGAGAAGACTTCACGAGAGCAAATACAGAGGGTTCACCACAAGGTGCAAACCATTCATAAGAATGAATAGAAAAGCCACATTAGATTTTGCCAAAAAACATTTAAAAAAGCCAGACCAGTTCTGGAAAATCATTTTTTGGACGGACGAAAATAAGATTAATACTGTACCATGAATGACGGGAAGAATAAAGTGTGGAGAAGGCTTGGAACAGCTCATGATCCAAAGCACACAACGTCATCTGTAAAACATGGAGGCAGTATGATGGCAAGGGCATGCATGGCTTCCAGTGGCACTGGGTCACTGGTGTTTATTGATGATGTGACAGAAGACAGAAGCAGCTGGATGAATTCTGCAGTGTTTAGTGATATACGGTCAGCCCAGATTCAGCCAAACGTAGCAAAATTGAGTGGACAGCGTGTCACAGTATAGATGGACAATGATCCAAAACACACTGCAAAAGCAACCCAGGAGCCTTTGAAAGAAAAGTGGGATATTCTGCAATGGCTGAGTCAATCACCTGATCTCAAACCAATTGAGCATACATTTCACTTGCTGAAGGCATAAATAAAGGCAGAAAAACCAACAAAGAACAACTGAAGACAGCTGCATCAGAAATGAGGAAACCCAGTCTTTGGTAATGTCCATGGGTTCCAGACTTCAGGCAGTCACTGCCAGTAAAGGATTCTCAACAAAATATTAAATATGAACATTTTATTAAAGATTATATTCATTTGTTACTTTTGGTCCCTTTAAAAAGGGGGAAAGGCTAATCTTAAGAGCTGTAATTCCTAAACCCTTCCTCCAATTTGAATGTACAAACCCTCAAATTAATCCTGAGAGTGTGCACTTCCAGCACATATTGATTACGTAACTATAGCTTGAATATGTTTTAGTAAATACCTGAAAAAACTAAAATTGTGCCTGTGTCCAATTATATATATATGGACTTAACAGTGTATGTGATTGTGGCCACCTGTGCCGCCCTGTAGCAGTATTTCTGCTATAGGGCGGTCGGGAAGCAGTTAAAACCACCGAACAAGGAAGTACCGCACCGGCGTGCGCTCCACAGGCCGGAAATTACGTCAC